CAACAACTTCTAAGAGATCTGTATCTGTTTTCACTAATCCTATGTAAACAAAGTGACTAAAAAGCATTACTTGACTAAACCTGATTATTTAGACCCTAAGGAACCTGATAACTACAGTAAAACTTTGGATTGCAAGTAACTTGTTCTGCAAGTGTTCCACAAGATGAGCAAACATTTCTAATAAATTTTAACTTGATAAACAAGCGTTGTCTTGCAATATGAACAATACATGATGCCAGATGTCACCTGATCACAACTGAGCCAATGGTTCTTCCCTCTTTCTCTCAATCTCTCTCTCTCTGTCATGCTGCATGCTTATGGATGATCAGCTCCCATGCGCAGATGCTTGGTCTCAGGCTGTGGTGTCTGGCAGAAACCAGTGATTTTTCAGAACATTGGGTGGTGCCTAAACTGGCATTAGTGTATTTTTTGTCACCTCAAAGTACCTATGGACAGTCCTTTGCTTTTACATAGAAGAGCAAGCTTAGGAATGATTTGCTTCATTCTAGGTCAGGCTGCCTGCAGATATAGACCCTTTCTTCTGCCTTATTGCCAGTTACATTATATACAGTATATGACAAGTGTTTAATACTGTACTGTAGTCAACATCCATGCAAGTGTACACAATGGCCCCCAGGCAGGAAAAGGTTGAGAAGAAAGGTGGCAAGAAGGAGATGATTATGGTGGAAGTTAAGAAGGAAATCGTTGAGAAGTACAAACAAGGTATGCAAATGGCTGAAATTGCAAGATTTTATAAGATGTCTACGTCTGCATCTCGTCTGCAGAGGAGGAGGGGGAAAAAGCAGAGGACTCCCTCACTTCAGATGAGATTAGGGAGATGTGTAAATTGTGAGAAACAGTGAAAATTTTTGTAGTAAAGCACCACCCAAATAAGGCTGTAGCAGTGTGAACAATGAATCTGTTTAACGACAATGCAATTCACATTTCCATGAAATCCTTGAAAGAAGGCAAAAGCAAGTGTCATTGGATAGGTTCCTTGTTAAAGTTGCATGAAAAGAAAAAGGTTCCACTGAGCCAATAGGTAGCAGTGATTCCATTAGTGATAGTGAAAATCATCCTACACAATAACCCTCCTCTCTCTTGTCTCCCTCACACCAACCACGAAGGTTTTCAAAGGCAAGTGCAGGCTCATTTGTTTATTTTTCTTTATTATTTTGTACTATATAACAGTATTGTAATCATTTTTATGTGAATATTTTGGGGGTGTGGAATGAATCATCTGAGTTTCCATTATTATGGGGAAATTCGCTTTGATATGTAAGTGCTTTGGATTACGAGCATGTTTCCAGAATGAATTATGCTAGCAAACCAAAGTTTTACTGTATCTTGGTTTAATTTAAAAGTATTGATGGGAAGATTCCAACTTATACAACAAATCTGTAGTAATCAAACAATATGATACAGGCAAAAAATAGACACATAGATCAATGGAACAGAACAGAAAACCCAGAAATCAATCCACAATTGTATGGTCAATTAATCTTCAACAAAGCAGGAAAGAATATCCAATGGGAAAAAGACAGTCTCTTCAACAAATGATGTTGGGAAAACTGGACAGTAACATGCAAAAGAATAAAATTGGCCCACTTTCTTACACCATACACAAAAGTAAACTCAAAGTGGATTAAAGATCTAAATATGAGAACTGAAACTATAAAAATCCTAGAAGAGAGCACAGACAGTAATTTCTCTGACATCACTCATAGCAACATTTTTCTAGATATGTCTCCTGAAGCAAGAGAAACAAAAGTAAAAATGAATTATTGGGACTACATCAAAATAAAAAGCTTCTGCATAGCAAAGGAAACCATCAACAAAACTAAAAGACAACCTACTGAATGGGAAAAGATTTGTAAATCACATATCCAACAAAGGGTTAGTATCCAAAATATATAAAGAACTTACACAACTCAACACCAGAAAA